TTTTCAAGGCAAAATTGAGCGGAAGCATAAACCATTATTCTTCAGTAATCATCTCCATGCTACGCCAGATTTCTGAAAACAGAGTCTGCATCGCAGGCACTTCGGGGAATCTTGTAAGAGTTCAGCGGTTGCAATAAGGGGCTTCTGTCCACTTACCTTTTTACACTTGACGAGCGCGACGATGGTGATGAGATTGCCGGGGACGCCGAGCACGATGAAGAGGACGCAGCAGAAGACGGCGAAGTCCAGCAGCAACGGCGGGTAGTTGGCGAAGAGTGTCTCCGCCTCGCTCGTGCTGTTGCCGCCGTGGTGGCTGCCGTTGTACGTGTACGCGGAGAAGTAGGGTGCGCCCTGCAGGCCCAACAGCCCCTGGAAGTCCCCGCTCTCCAGGGCACCGAAGGTCTCGTTGCCACCGTCGAGGGTGAGGTTGAAGACGTCTCTAAAGATCGAGGATGAATTTCTGGACGGTAGAGAGCCCTCGTCGTCTGCGGCGCGGGGCGAGAACCCTAACAAAGCACCCATGAAGCTGCTGGCCGCGCCGCCCTCGCCCACGGACACCTCGGCGGAGGCGGCCACGGACTCAGCTTCTCCATTACCTACTAAACCAACACGAGCATTTTCAAACGCTTCATTTCTAGATCCGACACTAAAAGCACCTACTGACTGGTTTTCAAGGCGGTGATATTCCTGACTATCTAATCTCACATCACTGTCGTTTTCACTGCTAATGTAACCACTACTCATCGCGTTGTAAACCGAGTATAACGCGTCGCTAACGTTGTCCCGCTGCGCCTCCGTGTCACTCCCCGCATCCGTCGCTCCTGCAACCCCCCAAGGCCCCGCGTCTGCGCCTCCCTCTGGGACTCTCCTGTAGTCCTCTAGTCTTGAGGGGTGTGAGGAATTGCTGGGCCATCCTTCGCCCCCCGAGGCACTGGGCCAGGAGGAGGCCGACGGCGCCACCCCGGGCCGACTCAGCCCCAGCGCGAGGATCTCGGCCACGGAGGTGAAGTTCCTGGCCGCCATGGCGAACGGGAGGCACGCGAGCTCGAGATTCCCGCCGGTTAACTTCCCAGAAAACACTGTCGAGCGCAGAACGGCATCGTCACTTCCTGATGTGCGATCTGGAAATAGAAAAGAAAAGGGTTATTTTTTTTCTTCTTAGGACGGGCGTGCATAGATTGATTTACGTTTCTAAGCAGGTAAAGCTTCTTATATAATTTTGTCGATGAATTTAATATAATTATGTGTATGTAGATGGATATATAGATAGAAAGTTTTATAAGCAGATAGACAGATGGACGGACTGATCACACACACACACACACACACACACACACACACACACACACACACACACACACACACACACACACACACACACACACACACACACACACACACACACACACACACACACACACACACACACTTACACACTCGTATACACAACATTAAGCCCCTCGAGCCAATGAGAGCCATTGTCCGCTGCGAAGTGGGGTGTGGGCCAGTGCCCTTGACACGACCCCAACAACAAACGCTTCTCAAGCAATTAATTGGCATGTTATTAGATCTTCTTCTTTCGAGAGGAAGTAGTATATCCACCCTCATCGCTGATCTTCCGGTTTACGTAGCTGCGATCGAGTGATTTACGATATTTGTCCGCAATCCGTTAAGCCGTTTGTGTAAGCTCGTTCACAATGGGGAGATGACTGATAGACGTCGGGGCCTCGTCTCGGCTGGACTGGTCAGGCTTTCTGTCTCGGCTTTTTCAAGGAACAAGTAATTGGGTTGAAGAGTAGAAGGCGGATGGGAGGAGAGAAGAAATAATAGCGAAAGCACGAAAGACAGGAAGACGTGTATATATATATATATATATATATATATATATATATATATATATATATATATATATATATATATATATATATATATATATATATATATATATATATATATATATATATATATATATATATATATATATATATATATATATATATATATATATATATATATATATATATATATATATATATATATATATATATATATATATATAATATATATATATAATATATATATATATATATATATATATATATATATATATATATATATATATATATATATATATATATATATATATATATATATATATATATATATATATATATACACATATACAGAGAGAGAGAGAGAGACAGAGACAGACAGACAGAAATAGATTATGATAGATAGAGAGAGAGAGAGAGAGAGAGAGAGAGAGAGAGAGAAGAGAAGGGCAGAAAGACAGAAAAGAGAGAGAGAGAGAGAGAGTAAATAAGCACATAGATCGATATGAATGTGGCCATTTATATATCGAATTACCATCAGCGTATATCAACTCATTTTATCCCCATCAATATGCTATGAACACGAGCATATCCTGTTTTACCACACGGGGCAAAAACTCGCTCGCCTCACGCCAGCCTGTGCGCGCGGGCTGAGGGGGGCTGAGAGG